TTGATGTTGTCTCGGTGGTTCTGATCTGGACAGTCCGTTGAATTTAATGCCCAAACTTCTTAGATTTAAAACATTTTATCACCCTTTGATTTGTTTACACAATGAGATTAGACTTATGCCCAAATTCCTCGGCAATTAAAACATTTGACCTTATTAACGTTAGATTGATTTCGGTTTGATGACGAAAGCTTACTTCTATCTTTAACTTGAGTGTCTACTTTCGGTTTCGGATTTTTAAACTTATCATTGTCCGATCTCATTTTATCATAAATTTTAAGCCTTTGTTTAAATTCAGATATTGTTTCGCAACCATACAGTATAGTTTTCCTAACCACAGAATCGGGGAATACCATCAATAACATATTTAATTAATGAAGCATCTTCAATGTTCCCTCGCGAACATATTTCTTTCATTTTCAAAAAATACTCATCTAAAGATTCATTAGGCATTAATTTACGTTTACATAACATTTCATGCAACTCAGCAGAATTAAAAGCTTTACCATATTCAGATTTCAAAAGCTTTTTTAACTTACACCAGTCATTAACTTTAGGTTCACTCTGAATAAATAGTTTCGCTTTACCTTTTAATGATGATCTTTTAGCAAAAACTAATTTATGCAAATCACTTAATTTCAAAGAATTTATAACATCTTCAAATTCATCAATCCATTTATCAACATTTTCATATGCATTACCAGAAAAAGGATTAACAATACTTTCAATATCAGAAAAACTAAGATGAGGTTTAAAATGATCTTGAATTGGAAGCTGCATACTATTGTTTACTTGAGACTCATTAAAACCAGGATTGTCTCTTTGATTATCATCAAGCATTACTTCAGAAATTTTATTAATAGTTTTCATCTTCAATATCACTATTTTCTTCATGCAAATATTTTCAAATAATACAGATAAATCACATAGGTAAAGAGACAATTCGGGTTACGACTTCCGTTTTTGAAACCTTCTGAATTTATGCACAGTACATTGCAAACTTTAATTAACTCATTCAAAGTAAAACTATTCTGCACTGCATCTATTTTCTTATTAAATTCTTCAGAATCCTGGTTTAAATATAAAGTAAAGCCAGAAAATTCACGTAATCTTTTCCGGTTATTTCGATCTCCATCAGTATTAAAATAAGCTTATGCAAACTTTTGATTTCAGAACTTTTACTGTTCTTTAAAGCTGCTTTCCAATTCTGGAATTTCTACTAACTTCATATTGGAAAGAAAGTTTTGTACTCACCCGACCGAGATGATCGTCGTCAATTGGGGTAATCCACACACTTTAAATACGAGTAATCCAATAAATCGAATAACTTGTGACAGAGCAGTTTACTCAATCAGTTCAATACACAGTTCAAAGCACAGTTCTAGTACTCGCACATTTTGGAATTCGAGGCCGCACGGTTGGTCGCCATATTTTTTGTAGAATTTGACTTGATTCACAGCATGAGAGCACGAACGTAGCATATTTTAAATATGGTTTTATTTAATAGAAAGAAATAAAAGTATAATAAAGATGAAGTTAACGGTATGCAGGATTAACATAATGATGTAAAGGCATAACATCGAAAGCGCAATTAAAGTTCATAAACTCTTGAAGACGTGTGAGCCGTCTGCTCACGTCTGCCATCCACTCTCGACCAGGTCTCAGCGCTGTCTGGGATGATTCTTACTGCGCTGGGTGATGCTATACTGATGACGTCATAATCCTGGTATTCTAATTCAGCATTGGACGTTGATGACTCCCACATACATTTATGCAGATTCTTAATTACTTAATTTCTTCAGATAGATTACAGGGCGATAATATTTAGTTACAACGATTTGAAAAGTGATACAGCCTTTTAAAATTTTCAACGTAAAATCGCAAAACGAAAAAATAGTCCTTCAAGGACAAAGCCCTTTTGGACTAAAAAAAAAAAAAAAAAAAAAAAAAATATAATGCGCTTCACTTTACTATCAACAATAGATTTTGATGCTGTATCAGATAAGTACTATAATATACATAAAACAAAAATACGTATATTATTTATTTATATCTTTTAAGAAACTTAAGCGTAATTCCTAAATGAAACATTAAATTCTTGAAAAATTTAATTGCGATATGGGTACTTCTTAAAATGAGATAATTGCGAACACAGATATACCCAGGGCCTGACTGAATCAGTATGGGGCCCTTAATCAGTGTTTCTTCAGCGCCCCTACTTACTTTACTTGTTTATAACGAGGAAAAAGCATAATCATTTTCTACCCTCCAACGTGAACAAGCCTATCTAACCAATAGGCCAAGGAATTATCTAGAATAGGAAGGCGAACCACTGATTTCTTTTTATGCATGAACGATGTCGATGCATGAACTTAAAAAGTAATCTTCATAATTTCCAGAAACATTTAGGTTGATAGACGCTAGATTTACTTTGTCTCTCTTGGGAAGATAGAAAGAACGTTACGTGCTTTACGTCGCTGTTGGCGTAAATTGCGTACTCTAATCATGTTAATAGCAGATGAGTCGAGTGACGAAGATTCTGTTGGTTCTAAAACACATTCATAGCCCGTGATGGCCGATATCTTGAAGTCAGTTACAGATTCGAAGAAAATTAGTATTAGTAAAGAGAACGTGCAGGTTTAGATCAATACATTCAATTCTGTTTCCGTCACACTCTCTCACGACGATGACGAAATAATTGGTTATGTATTGGGAAAGGAGAAAGATGATGAGGAGCAGGGGTGGAATGAAGATTAAGACGATATGCAGAGCAAGAAATTTACGTGAAATGAAACTGGTTAAGGATTGCTGACTTTCTTAAGATATGACGAGAAATGTTTATCTGTGTCCCTACACGCTGCTATAAAGCTTCATTGTAATAATTGACGAATTTTTATACTATGACGAAAATCTTGTAAACAGACAGACATTCGAAGTTGCATGCCTCACACTGAGAAATTCGTAACTTTCATAGGATAATAAATATAGCATATTTAAAATGTTGTTTGAGTTTGTTTTCTGAAACATAACATCATGTCTGCGTGTTTTAATTTTAAATCATCGATTTTCAATATTATTTATTTAATTGTGGCCGATATATCAAAAACACGGCCAATAGGCTTCGCATGCTGTCATTTCTGCAGTTGCGATCACAAAGCATGAACAAAAAAATTCTATTAAAATATACGGCCAATTATCCGGAGAAATATCTCATTCGAAATTGGAAAGGTCCCATTGCTGCCATATATTAAAATGGTTTCTACTGTAAAAGCATTTACTAATTTGTTTTTCAAATATTTCATTACCTATGTGTCTAATAAGCTCTAAAAGGCATTTTAAAGATGGTTTTTAAAAAGAAAATTTCTTTCATTCAGTTCATCACATCTCTGCGCTATTAAGCGTTTGAAAACATAATCGCAGATTACTTTTAAAAAAACTGAGGAAATATTTTGAACGACTCTACTATATGAAATACATTATAATGGTTTTGCATTTTCCTTTTGCAGCTGTTCATTAGTTGAGTTGTAAAAGACACGATGTGTTTCGGTTTTATTGCCTTTTACTTCCTTGGGCGAAGTAAAGAAAGTATTATGAACTCGAAAAATTTCGGATGCCATATTTCAAAGGAAATATCCATTTGAACAATTTTTTTTCCGTGCGTGAAATCTGTACGCACGGACAGAATAAAGGATAATGTTTTCCAAAATGGATCGCAAAGTGGATTAAGAAGGGATTTTTTTTGTGATGTTTGTACGTACGAATGTATCTCGTGTAACTCAAAAGTGATTAGCAGTAAAAGGTGAAAATTTTGTGTATGAGACTGCTATGACATCTAGTTGTGAACCTCGCTTTTTCACTGCAATCGACCGTACCAAATGTGTGTGTCTATATATATATATATATAAGTGGAAGTGGGAATATATATACACCCGCTCCCTTACTTCCTTACCTGGCTCAATGAGCTCTGTTTTTTTCTTATATGTTAGTAAATTGTTAAATTGTGCGTTTTTTGCTCCAAACATGATTGAATTATGTTGTTCCTATGTTCTGGTTTAAGCTTCTGGTAATTATTCCGGTTAAGGTTTTTATGTCATTAGTTAATCTGCATGTAATATTTCACGCATGCAGATTAACTAATTGTTGATAATTTTATCAACAATTTAAAATTGTAAGTGGAGCTAAGCTTGTCGGGGCGGAATTTGTTTACATTTGAAACTGTTAGCTGTATAGTGAATTAAGTCAATGTGGCTCTGTCCAAAATCACTGAAACTTTAAATTTTGATGCATCGAAAGCATTGTCCTTCTGCCCGTTGAGCTATATTTGGTGTTTTAGGCTTTGGGCATCTCACAATTTCTTATAACGATGTTTTTAGTTTTTATGTATTTTTGCCTTGCCGCGAAATGAGAGTTAAATAAATTGAAATAGAAATATATCTCTAATGAAATTCGAGGGTAAATTTAAGTGAAATGAAGCAAAAAATGTGTATGATTAAAAAGGCCATATAAGGTAGTCATATGATGTTCACATCAGATTTCTTTTTTCGTGTGTGTGAAAAAACTGTGTTTCGTATTAATAACGAATTAATAACAGTAATGTGAAAAACTGTGTCTCGCATTCTATAACATGAAATATCTTTATTTCAGAAAAAAAAATGTATTGTTCCTCTATGAAATAAAAATATTTCATATAATAGGGTCCCCCCCCCCGAAAAAAAAATCTAATGTTTCATTTCGATCCAAAAAAAGTTCTGGCATAATCTAAGTACTTCATTGCAGTTTCATTATTCCTTTGTTTAAAGAATAATTTTGTTTTTATAGCTGAGATTGCAATTTGTTTGAGATAATCGTAGTTCTGATTATTAATCTTGTTCTTAAACCGGTTTTTATCTCAAAATAAAACTTTCAAGATAAGGCCTGGATCTTCTTTTTTGGATGAAAATGCTTTTTAATATAGTTTCATACTATTTTCTCGCAATAACATTTCAGTTTTATAAAAACCAGACTCAGCGTAGTAAGAAAGAAAATTACTAATAGATAGTAAACTGGAATATTATTGAAAATGTCGTAAATAACTTTCCTTAACGTGAACAATTTCAACCATTCAGTTAGCAAACATAAGGATCGGGAATAATCAAGTCGGAAATATTTGAAAACACTCATAAATTCAAATAAGTATTCGCAGCAATTTCTGTTATTGAAAATTCTGTGAATCTTGACTCCTCTCTCCATCAGGGCAGACTCGGCATTTTGAGAACTCGAGTCGAATCCATGCCAACGAGTCCGATCCCAATTCCGAGCTGAAAAAAAATGTTAAAAATATGAGATCTGCTAGTTTATTTAGTGGCAATTTGTATGTTAATAAAAATTTTAAAATTTAAATTTATAATTTTATACTAAAAATTTTAATTTTTAATTAAAATGAGCTATGCAATAAAAACGTGGTTGGGAAACATCATGCATTCAATTTCATTAACTAGTATTAATAAATAAACTTTTCATTTCAAAAGGCTAAAATTCCAGCACTCTGTTTCTTCAGCAAACTTTTGAATAATTAAGCAATATTAATCGAACTAAATTACGCTTTAATTTCTTTAAAAGAGAGACATTTTAAAGGAACTAGCATACTAGATATACTCACTTATACTAGATAGCTCAGAATTTACTTCAGAGCAAAAAGGAATGCTTTTTCGGTAGTAATGGATGTAGTCTGACTTATTTATACAAAAAATATTGCAAAACCACAATAAGGTTAGTCAGATTACAAGGTTAATTTGTTTTAAACTTAAATCCCAGCTTATTACTCCAAAGGGGCTTTTTTTCTGAGGGACTATTGTTTACGTTTTGCGATTTTTTGCCGAATCACTGTGAATGTCCGTTTCACTTTTCAAACTGTTGCCGCCAAATATTATCGCCCTGTAAAGTTGAAGAAATTAAATAATGAAGAATCTGCATAGATGTATGTATGTTTCTCGCATTATAATAAAACAAAGGTACCTAGAGCCATCCAATTTTGAATGACGTAATCCTACTACGAATATGGGTATCTGGAAGCCTAAATTTGAAATTTGGAATTTGGTTTATTATCGATTTTATATTTTGTAAAACTTTAACGAGTTTTTGATTAACAAATTCAACTATTTGAAAGCGAGCAATGGCAACAATATACGGGGAAAAAACCTTTTTGTTTCCAGAGCGCGGAACTGTGTATCGGAAATTCTAAAGAGAGGTTCATTTTAAAATTATTTTGCGACATTGCTATTAAAACGAAATTTATGGTTTAAGTACGATCTCGCTAATAATAAATAAAGGTAATAGACAAAATGTTAAAAAAACGCCCCTTTAGACGTAATTTAAAATCTGAAACCTTTCAGATTTTCTTTTATTTATTATATATACAATTTCAATTTATTGCGAAGAGTTTCAGGTCAGTTTTCAGCCCTGCCTTTAGTGCTTTTTCAGTTTAAAACATCAACGCATTTTATTAATTAAGCGTTAAGTTTCATTAAAGCATTAAGTTTCATTATTTTTTAAGAAATTTTCTAACTAATGAAACCATAATAAAATAAGTTCAACTAGATTTGGTTTAGTTGTAATACGTGCACGTGTTTTAGATAAATCAGAATGTATAAATTGTTTCTAAGTTCCCATTATTATTATTGTTTTTAAATTTGATTATCACAGTTTATCAAAATTTGAATTACAGTAATTACTTTAGATTTTATGCTAAAGCTTTAAAATTATAATAAAAGAGATCTTAGTTTTGTTTTAATTATGTTATCATATTATTATAGTTTAGTTAATGATGTTATTACAAAATTTTATAATTACATTATCCTTGGTTCTTCCTTGCGTACTTTTACATCTCGTTAATAGAGTCACTTGTGCCAAATCTTTACGGCTGACCTTAAGATCATTTTTTTTTTGAGACGAAATTCAATCAAATTTTCAGTTTTTTCTCCCCCTCCCAGAGTTTACAAATAGCAATTATTCTTGCTTTAATTTACTGAAACTTGTTTCGAAAAATGATGGTATTTCTCTTTATATATTTCTCTTTATTATTTTTTCATTGCAGTAAAACTTGCATTTTTAAAGATATTTTCATTAAATTTCGTTAGATTCAAAGTAAGTTTATCAACCACGAGTATAATCATTAAAGGTCTACATTGATTTCCGAAAGTTAAGCAACAAACGGGAAACTATTGATAATTCAGAAAATATCCAAGCAAACGGACAAAATTCGATCACAATATTTATTATACCTTTCGCAACTTAAAAACACAAGAAAATGTTATACAAAGTATTTACATTTTATGGTAGCAACATGAATATAAAATCTCCTAAATGCGGACAAACACATCAAATAAAAAAAAAAAAATCTCAGTAATGAGGATCATCACACCGAGCAGCAAAACAGACTTGACAGTGGTGTCTCATACTGTTTATGATGCTGTAAATGGGCACCCTGGGTAGCAATGCTCATTGATCAAATAAAGTAGTTCTAGACGAGTCTAGGATTTGGGAAAGGGCTGGGAAGACAAACACCTCCCGAGAGCGTCCCACACAGGCTGAATGAGATTAAGATCGGAAAAGCGTACTGGTCTTTGGATTTTGACTGTAGTTTTCTTCTTTAGCAAATTGGAGTATAGGAAGAGAATTATGAGAGAGACACAATGCAAGCAGCTATAATCTGCTTGCAAAATGAAAGTATCGCCAATCGTCTCTGCTTCTGAGCATTTAGAGTGTAATACAACAACACACACAGGTCTGATGGTCTACCTAAATATATTCCTCTCCATACATGAATACCTACTGAATAGATACTTTTTTCCCGTATGTTAGACAAAAGATATCAAGTTTTTGCTTCTCTTCATATGTAGACATGTTGCGAATCACTGTGCAAAGTAAAACAGGGCCCATCAGTGAATAGATCAGAATTCCATTCATTTTCAGTCCAGGTTACATGACTAAATGCCCAATTCAACCGCTTCCTTCGGTGGCAGGAGTTAAGCGGGAAGCACAGTACCGGTCGCCTTGCAAGCAGACATCTTTCATGTAGCCTTCTGCATACTGTCGTGGTTGATACTATCCTTCCTGTAGCAGAAATATGCTCGAGTGAATTTAAGCTGAGAGGGTGTTGAAATCCTGTTGAGAAGTGCACTAAATCACAAGTACGGTTATCAGCAGAAGTCGTAACTGTTGGCCCACCTTTTGATAGGTCTTCGAGAAGCTGAACCAGTGGTTAGACATTAGTTCCACAACTGGATTACCATGGAACAGTTAACGTTTAGCAATTTTGCAACGGCAGGCTGTTGTTGATCTGCTTCTAATCGGCGTAATGGCTCTACAACGCAGTTCTGCTGGAAAATGTCGCCTCGAATTCATTTGTATACTTTGACTATCTCGAAGTTGTTTAATGAACAGCGATGCGCTGGTCTTTTGCATAATGCTACTCGATGCAGTTTGCTTTTATTCGTGATGTATTCAAATTACAGGAATTTCAAACTACGTTTATCCGATTTGTCGCGATTTTTCAATTTTATGCTTTTAAACTGAAACTTTTATTCTAGGAAAAGCTGTTGAGGGCGCTGATGTGTTTTCTCACTAACGTTATCTATACAACATCCTCAAAACGTTGCAAGTGTCATTGGTTATCGACATAGAGTTCTGTGCAGTTGTGAGCGCATCATGCCGGAACTAAATGAATTGGAGCATAGCAAACTGGAGGGGCCCGTATAGTTGGTGCTTCCATTACAAAGGTAACTGAAGTGTTTGGACGCACAGTACTTAAGATTTTTAACTCATGCACGAAAACACACATCACAGCACGGATGAAAAAATGCGTTGAGTGATCATGACAGATGATCATTGAAGAGGATTTGTGATGAAAAATAAGAGTACAACAGCCGCAAAAGTGACTACTAAACTGAAGGTCACACTAGCAAACCCTATCAGCAACAAAACAATACAAGGGATCTCCATAATCAGGGTATTTTTGGGCGATCTGCAATTCAAAGGCCAGTCGCCAGTGATCAAAATGTCTGTAAGAGGAGAGAGTACTCTCTCCTGCTAAAGTCGTAAAACCAAAACTGTGGAGCTATGGATGATTATCATTTGATCGGATGAGTCTTGACTTCTCAGCGAGTTTACGTCTGCCGAACGCCGTCTCTAGCGTATGACAGAGACTGTATGCTGCCGAGAGTGAAATATAGCGGAGGTTCGGCCATCATTTCGGAAGCTATAGAGTGGTATTCCACGGGACATATTATTGCTGCCCAAATTCGCATTACTGTCTCGGATTATGTGACAATTTTGGCTGATCTTCATCCCATGGTTATAGCCGAAAACATCGCGAATGAATACGTCTCGGAGAAAACAATGCAAGGCGAAAACGTCGTGGTACAAAACATTGTGGGAGGGAAAAAGCAAAGAGAAAAAAAACATCGCAGTTCTAAAACATAGTGGTACAAAATATCCTGGTCGAAAATAAAGCAGTTCAAAAACTTCCCAGTTTAAAAATATCGTTGTAAAAACTAAAGTACCTACAAATCATCGCATGGGAATAACATCGCACATATGCGTTTTTCAGGTTTAAAAGTGCATTTTCTCATAATGGTTTGAGAGCGCAAGAAGTAAAGAGGGTGAAAATGTTACCGACACGTCAAGAGTAAAAGGAAACAAAAGAAGATAAAATTTTCACTAAAACAATAACAGATTAGCAAACGTCAAAGAAAATAATTTGATAATTAACTAAGCAATTTGTACAGAGGTAAACTCATGCATTCTTTGTCTTCCTTTTTCTAAACATTTTTAGACTGCATTTTTCATGAAACATTATGAGTAAAACTTTACAAAAAGATTAATTTACTAAAAACCTTTGTTAATTAACTAAGTAAATTTAAATATCCTATTAAGTGCTATAAGTTGCATTAATTTTCTACTCATTTTCAATTTTTAAATGCTTAAGTTTCCTTCTTACATTTTCAACAAAAATTTATTACTTCGCTCAAAAATATGAAATATAGAAGTAGAAATATTCTTCTTTCCTTTTGTACTTCCAGATCATTATACGAAAATGCACTTACAACTTTTAAAACTTGAAAAAAGCATATGTGCTATGTTATCGTCATGCGATGATTTGTAGGTACTTTATTTTTTACAAAGATATTTTAGACGACATTGTTGTTTTTAAACTGCGAAGTTTTTGAACCATTTTATTTTCAATCACGATATTTTGTCCCACGATGTTTCGTACAACGTTCTCGCCTTGCGTTGTTTTCTACACGACGTTTTGTATGCGAAGTTTCTGCTGCGATGTATTCGGCGAACAAATACCAAATTCAGGCTTCGGGTGGAGGATTATGTTATTCAAAATTTGATGACTCTAGGTACAGTTGTTTTCTCACAATGCACATACAGTCATGTAGATTCTTCATTATTTAGTTTCTTTAAATATAATAGAGGGCGATAATATTTGGCGGCAACAATTTGAAAAATGATTCGAAATAAAATGCCGTTTTGAGACTATAGACCTTCAAGGCTAACGCCCATTTAGCTAAAAATATCATACTATATTCATGGAAATTAATTTTCATGTTCAGCTCGCGAATATCTTCAGATGCATATATTAAAACTCACAGATGGATTTTTATCGTTTAAATAAACTATTAGATTGTTACAAATGAAATTCCCTTTGAATGACGTGAGGTTTCCACTGGTTATGAAAGAGAGAAAAGAGGTTTATGCAGTTTGTTAGTTTGTTTTAATATGAGACAGTGTCACACGTGTGTGATGCAACTGTTGTAGTAGTTGCTTCGTTCAACTGTCGTTAAAAACTGAATACTACCGTTCAAGTCTATCGTGTAAGCCAGTCAATTAATTTACTACGATTTTTTTGAGCCCGAATTGAGAAATTCGCAGCTGCTGTAGTAAAACATCACCAGTGAAACATTCTGTTAAGGAAAATCTAGCGAGAAATGTATTTCTTTTTTGTTTCCAAATTTTACTCGCGATATCCGAAACTACGAAACAAAAAGAAGTTGTCTCTCTTCTATTTATTTCAATGAATTAAACGGTTTAATCGAATCATCAGATCCATGACAAACTAATGCTCGAATACTTAAATGTAAAATGTAATTATGAATGAAAAATGAGTATTCTAGAACAATCGTACACATTCATTGCAGTAGCAGAGAGGGAAAGACGCTCCATGAAAGACTCAAAAGGTATCTACAGTTTAGAGTTTCAGTGGTGCTATTCATAATTCAATCCTTCCACGAAGTGAAAGGATAAATTCAGCTTGATATTGCATGGTTGTGTGGCAAATGTATGTAAATTGTACCTCATGCAACCAGTACTTGGGAATAAGTATGGAGTCCCTTTGTTTCAAGCTAATGCTGGACCACATACGATTGTGTCAACTATACAGCAAATAAAAAGTGACACGAAATCGTGCTTCGTTTTCCATACTCTCCTGACAGTTCCCTAGAAGATCAGTTTTAGTGCACATGAGCCTTTTTTGTTGTCATAAAATGCTTCTCCAACGATTCTCCAAATTATTGGGCTATGGTGAATTTCATCCCTTTCACTGATTTTTTGAAATATATTCTAAATGATGTTGTCAATATACTGACAACAATGTAGTGATACTGTTGGAGATTACTTTGATTGTACGTGTCCAATGCCTATACACAGCTAAAGCTCGCCATTGAAAAAAAGAACTTACAAGTATTCTTATTCAGTTCGTTTTCAATTGTTCGTAATATCGGCCGTTTACTTTGAAACGATTCAGTATTTCCAGTCTGCGAAATTTAGATTTAAATTCATTACCATAAAAGTTAATGGTCTAAGGATGAGAACAACTACAGAAACAACAGAAAGTAAAGAACTATTACAGAATTTAATTACAAACAAATGTAACTTACGGCATGAGAAAAGATATTTTGAAAACACATCTTCTTCCTCAAAATGTTCAAAAACATATCCTGGATGGAAAGAGAAATAATGAAACAGTTTCGACAAAATTATATTCTAGATGATCAGAATCACTAAGAAAAAATTATAATAGTAATATCCCAGTTATGTATTGAAGTTAAATAAACTATAATAACCTGTCCTTTTTTAGTAATTATATTAACTATATCTTTCAATATTATGAAAAAAAAAAAAAGCTTTAAAAGCCGCAAACATAATGTGGAATAATAGTGCATTCTATTATATTTCTTTTGAAATGTTACTACGTAGGTTAGCAAAATACTCCTGTTCGCAAAAGATTGGGGGTTCGAATCTTGGTTGAGGTACAGATCTTTGTGACTGTAATATCTATAAAAGCAGAGACGTTTAAAATCCACTGATTCAAAACATTTCTCGAGTGGTTGATGGAAAGGCAAGAAAAACATAGATCCTCAGATTCTAACGGCGGAAAAGTTCCAATGGCCAGAAACTTGCTTATTAAGCATTTGCCTGGAACTATAGTTAAATTCAACGATTATTTAACCCTCTGATCACCAAAAATATCGTACAAGATGCTTCCACTGGAAGCAATCGGTGTTGCATTTTTAAGTAGGAGGAAAGGCAATATACATACAGACAAAATCTTTAGACGAGAGTCGAAACTACATCTTTGGCATCGGGTTAATAGTGAGTTTCCACTAACCACTACCCCATATAAACGGATCTGTGACTAACAAAATACTTGGCTGTTGTACTACTCAATAGTTATTCATTGATCTATTCGAATAAAGAAATTTGGAATAAATAACATCTTTCCAATACCAAATCAGTGGCAAGAACCGAAAAATAATTATATATTCAACACAGTGACAGAGTGTTTAAATAGGACATTGAAACGGAGTTTGGTTTCTAGTTCTCGCGTTTTGAGTAAAAAGAATTGCTTTTCCTTTACCGAAAGAGTTTTATATGATGATAACACATGATGTAAAAGCGTTTAAAAAACTTCCCGTGACTGTGCGATTGTCGTTTCGAAAGTCCGTGAAAAATTCCTCTTTATTTTTAAAGTTATCACAGAAACCAATCATGAAACGCCAGCACGCACGTATAAACGTGTTTTGAAAACTAAAAATCCACAAACCCATCTGAATGACAGTATGAGGGAAGAATTCACAGAAATATTAAAAGAGTTTAAGATAAAGGAAATTAAACGGATACATTTTTTGGTAACTGATGGCTTGATGTTCATTCAATTATATTTAATTTCCTTGTACTGTTTGTAAATATACTAGCATCGAAAGAATAAATTGCTTTCGCTTTGACGTTTTTCTAAAATGGCGCTTAATTGAAACAAAAAACATGGATTAAATTTTTTTAATGATGGAATTTCTGTTATAGAAACGTTAGAAATCCTGTTAAAAGTTTTTGAAGTCAACACTGTATCAGAAATAAGAATTTATGAGCGGTATATGTTGCTTTAGTCAGTCAGAAAATGAATCTAAGATGTATCACGCTCTAGTAGACCATCTGCTTCAGTTAATGAGCAGCATGATAGTTTAAAAAACAGCTATATTATTGAACAAATTCCTATGTTATTTAGATTCCGTTAAGCAATTTTCGACAATGGTTTTTGCAAGTAGGTAATCGCTTCTCGAGAGTGTTCCAAAAAATGTTGAACTTTTTCCAAAAACAGCAACGTGTTAAAATTCCTAGGTTCAGTTTAGTTTATTCGATTATGGCAAAGCATGCAAGGGCTATCTGCCTAAGAGGAGGAATGGCTTCGTTGAGGACTTTTTTACGGGAAACTAGCTCGTGTCTACGTTACACATAAGGAAAAACCACGAAAACGCTCTTGCAACCAGCCCATTCGCCTGGAACTAACCAAGGTCGAACTAGTACTACTATTTATTAACGTTACCGCTCGGCCACTGGTGAGCTCAAGTGGCTTAAGAGAAGGCTAATGAAGCAGAATTCTTCTTAAAATGCATTATGAATGGTGATGGAACATCAAATTATGCAAAGACACATCTCAATTATCACGAAATGTAGCTCAAAAAGGGAAACTAGAACGAAAAAGACTCAATTGATCAAAAGTAAAAATTATATTTACAGTATCTTCGAAGGTTATGGTGCTGTGCTTTAATTTTTACGAACTGGCTAAACTGTTAAAAATATTATTCAAGTATTTTGTTGTGTTTGCCTGAAGCAATTAACGGATCCGTTAATTATAAATTAATGTTACATTTACAGATGATTTGCTCCACGATCCTACATTAGCTCACAGTGAACTTCTTTATGAATTTTCTTTCGTCTAAATTAGGTAAATACAAGCTGGAAAAATCTATATTTATTTAACACAGAAATTTGTGAATTTTTCCATTGTGTGGATTTTTGTTGCGACTTGTCTCACTTATCTAACCGTAGCATAAGAAAAAGTCCACTAGGTTTACATGGGGAATGAGCGCAGGATTGCGCTTGTTACTAGTACCTTATAAGTGCACCTTATAAGCTTCTTAAGGCACCTAATAGATGACAGTAAAACTTTACATATTCCGCCCCAGTTTTGACATATCCTCCTGGAGGAATTTTATCCGTCTTCCACTTTCTTTCCTACCACAAAAGCATTCAAGAGGACTTTAGGCCGTGCATTTTAAGTTCCTCCATGGCGTCCAAGACACTACACGTTCATAAGCATCCAAGTCTTTACCCCCAAATTTAAGGCCAACGTTGCGGTGCCAGCAAAGTTAACTACTATCCTAGCGGTGTGAAGTTTTCTAAATTCTATGGTTAAAACTGCAGCTTTGTGATCACCGTTGGAAGCCTATTAATGCACACACACACACACACACACAAAAAAAAAAAAAAAAAAAAAAAAAAAAAAAAAAAACGCTATGAATTCTGATACGATTTTATAAAAAGAATTTTAAAACATGGTTTTACGAAACTAGAAACCAATGTTGATATATGAAATTACAGTCCGAGGGGAGTAGTTTGAAAGGAATGTAATAAAAGCTGAGTATTAACTTGAAAACTTGCGTTTTGGAAAATCATTCCCGATACATTTTGATCACAATAGTATTATATTATAATTTTTTATCAATTAGCTATATTATTTAAGTTGAATAAAGATACGAATTATTAAGAATTTTATTTACAGCTTTTAATCAGACAGTTAAACAATTATAATTTTAATCTGGAAGATGAAATAATGAGCTTATGTTGCTTCGAATGCAGTGTTCGGAGAACAGGCTATTCTCCAGAGAGAGTGGAAATTAGATTAATTACCTTTATGTTAGAATAGTTACTCTCATTAGATCGAGCGGTCTTGGTAGAATGCTGTGATTTAACGCAACGGCCCTGAAATTGGAAAGATTTTTTATTTTACATATTTCTAACGTCAGTATCAATGAAATAAATAAATCATACTCTTGATGAGAACAAAAGCACTGCGTATTCTGTTAACGCATAGATATAATTATTCCAAGATTGCATTGTTATTGCATTTCTTTTACAGCTGACGTATTCACGAATCTGAACCTAAACACTGCTTACATTGCTGAAGTGGAGAAGTGATACTTCTTTTTCGTATGCATTCGAAAATTTTCCGTTATAAGGCAATCAGCGTATTTGTTTTCACTATAAATGACCTATCAGAGAACATAATTTAACAGAATGAATGCTATAAATTATATTTATGATTCTAGATGCAGAATAAAGCCTACTTAGCGCATATTTTTGACCTTAAAAATGTCTTTAGTGAAGTGTTTCACATATTTTGGCTTCATTATATTACACTATTATGCCATGTAGTATTGTCCTCATGAGTTTTAAAGAGTTGCTAAAGTACGCGCTATTCAATCTTGAAGTTTCCTTTCAAATCATACCTACATTGATTTATAAACTGAGGGTCTTAAAAGCAATCAACATTGTTCATAATAATTTTATTTATTTTACGTTTTAATAGTATAACCAATTGATGTAATCTGAAACAAGCTTCATTTATAACAATATCTAGTTAATATTTATGATCACTTGCAGAATTATTTTAATTAAAGAAAATGTTTCTAATACCATTTATTACTTACGTCTATACAGATTTTTTATATCCCCCGCCCCAGCTGAGAACTAATAAAATTAAAACTTAAATTTAAGAAAGATTTTTAATTTCTGCAAATATCTATCATTTCTGTTACTCAAGAGATATATCTTATATAAATCTCAACACAGAATGAATTGTACAAGATATATGCACAGGAACACGCTCGTTCTTTGATCATTGTTAAAATTCAAACTTAATTTGATATTAATTCGGCTGCGTTCTTTTGAAAGTAAAATAATTTTCCCTTAATAAATAAAATTATAATTGCGGCAAGACTAATAATTTTCCATTAAAAATAAAAATTAATTTCAGTGGAGTTTGAGATCAATCGCAATACATGGCTTCTTCTGCCGACATTATCAGATTCATTTTGGAAATGATGCTGAATCAAAAAAGGTATCTAAAAGAAATCACAAGTAAAGAGAAATACGCAAAAATAGTCATAATTATATAAAACATTAAAAAATATATATATGACAAATAAAACTATACAATTGATACCTAATCTTATTGTATTAAATCAGAGAGAAACTCATAGAGTTTTTTTTCTATACTTATTTCAAGAAACCTCAATGTGTCCACACTTGTTGACATATTAAACATCTACATATAAAGAGTTTCTCTCTACAGCCGTACTATACAATTAATACAAAAATTAAATGGAAAGCAAAATTAACGAGATATTTTGCACATCTTACAAATGTCCACTCAGGAAATCCTTATTGATAAGAAGGCATCTATGCAATAAAACTTTTTATCCCATGCACTTGATTGTTTATTAGTATCGATAGAGCCATAATCGATAAAACCAGTGCAACAATGCTGCCGTATCGAGTGACAGAATTTAAGAATCATAAAACTTGCACCGAACGGCTAGCGCTGGACCTGTTGATCCCAGCTACAATATCGGCGATACATTTGCAAAACTCCTGGACA